AGAAGATAAAAATTATGAACAGTAAAATGACAACAAACTCACAACTATCAACAAATGAACCTAAAAGAAAAGAAAAACAATGAAAACAAAAACTAAGCAAACAACCAGCACACGAACAGAATCTAAGAAATGGACATCACACAGAGGGATTTCAGCGGGGAGGAGGAAGGGAGGAATAGGGGGCAAAGGGTACAGGGAAGAAGAAGCATGGTTAGTAGGCATAAGAGATGGAGAAAGATTAAAAAATGGTATGGGAAACAGGACTCAAAGAACATATATGTACAACCTATGGATGTGGATTAAGGGGTTGGGAATGCTGGAGGGGTGGCGGGGCAGGGTGGAGGGGGGATAGAGGGGAGAAAATTGAGAAAATTATAATAGCATAATAAAAAAATATTTAAAAAATAATAACTACATTAAATGTAAATGGTCTAAATACACTAATTATGAGACAGGCATTGGCAGAATGGACTTAAAAGTACAATTCACCTATTTGCTGACTAAAACAATTCACTCAAAAATAAAACAAAATAGATAGGTTGAAAGTATTATAAAAGGGTTAAAAAATATACACTATGCAAACTTGAATCCCAATAAAAAGGAATAGCTTTATTAATAAAGATAAAGTAGACTTCAGAATAAAGAAAATTACCAGAAACAGACAAGACACTGTGTAATAATGAAAGAGTCACTCCATTAAGAACACGTAACAATTCTAAATGTATATGCAACAAACAACAGAGCTGCAAAACATATGCAGTAGAAACTGAAAGAGACAAACTGCATTTATATTTGGAGATTTCAACAAATCCTCTCAACAAGTGATAGAATAACTAGGCAAAAACCAGCAAGGATATAGAATAATGAATACAAGACCATGAACTGATAGGATATAATCAACATTTATCAAATACTTTACCTAATAACAGAATACACATTCTTTTCAAGTGCCCACAAAACATTTACCAAGGGAGGCCATATCCTCCTGAGTCATAAAACAAACTTCAATTAATTTGGTGTTCTCCAATCACCATAGAATCAAACTAGACATCAACAACTAAAAAATTAAAAAAATTGTCAAATAACCAGAATCCAAATAATATACTTCCAGGTAATCCATGGGTCAAGAGGAAGTCTCAAGGGTAACAGAAATAAATAAATTAGAGCAGAATGGAAAATAAAATACACATATCAAAATAAAGCAGTGTTTAAAGGGAAATTTATAGCACCAAACATATATAACAAAAAATAGGAGAAGTCTCAAATCAATAATCAAAACTTCCATCTCAAGTACCTAGGAAAAGAAGAGCAAAATAAACCTAAAGGAAACCAAAAGAAATAAGTATAAGAACAACCATCAATGGAATTGAAAATAGAAAAGGAGAGAAAATCAATGAAACAAATAGATGGTTGTTGAAAACACTGATAAAATTGGCAAACTTCTGACAAAGAAAAAAGAGAGACGATACAAATTAACAATATCAGGAATAAAACAGGGGCTACATGACAAACTATGCACAGATCAAGGGATAACAAGAGAATTATTATTATATAGTTACTAACAACTAACACAACATGCATAAATTTGACAATTTAAAGAAATGGACCAACTATTTAAAAATACAAACTATCACAACTCACCTAATATGAAACAGATAATCTGAATAGCCTTATAATTATTAACAACTGCCAAAAAAGAAATCCTACAGCCCAGATGATTTCACTGGAGAATTTCACCAAATGCTTAAAGAATAAATACCTATTGAATGAAATCTCTTCCAGATAAGAAATAAGGAACCAACACTTCCCAATCCATGTTATGAAGCCAGAATTGCCCTGATAACAAAACCAAAAAAAGTTAAAATATGTACACACACACACACACACACACACACACACACATACATATGAGAGAGAGAACATTATCCTTCCTGACTATAAATGCAAAAATCCTTACCATATAGAATTCAACAGTATATAAAAATAATTATAGAACATGGAACATGACCAAGTGGGAATTATTGCTGGGATGCAAGGCTGGTTCAATATTTGAAACTTAATCAATACAATATCTAACATGATTAAGGCTAAAAAAGAAAAAAAATCACATGATCATATCAATCAATGCAGAAAAATGAGGAAGTCAAAAAGATGAGTTGACAAAACTAACAAAAAAGAGAGGCAAAGGGAATGCCTAGGAAATTCCTATACATTAGAGAGCAACCAACCCAGATTCGATGGAGTCAGAAGACAGATCTCTTGAAGAAGAAAAAGTGAATAGAATAATAAATGTGTTTAAGAGTATTAAAATGACATAAACTTGGGAAGGGTTTGGGATTAAATTGCTGAAAAGTATGCAGAAAACTAAGATTAAAAAAACCCCAAAACACCAGATAATCATTAATTCCAGGGAAGAGAGTTACATAGGAAAGGAATAGTAATTATAGTCTATTAGGAGATTCAGCAAAATAAAACTAATATTAATATAACTAATATATTGCCAAAATTTTCTGTTATTTTGGGAGAAAAGATGAGAATAATGCAAGTATTTGGGGGAAAGGACATGCAAAAGATGAAAGCTAAATTTTTACTTTCCATATTATGTAATGCCTAAATTGGAAAAATAAAGAAACTTCAAGACCTAGCAGTATCAGCATGTTAGTTAGAAATGTATCAAAGGACTCAACTAAAAGTGGTTGCCTGAGAACCTTGCAATGGCATAGGAAAAGTCCTCAGAGAACTGTTTGAGATGTCTTTTGTAACAAGTTTAGTTCACCCATCTATCTGAGTATTTAAGTTGTTAAAAATATAAAGATACATGGCTGGACCAGGACTTGAACCCACATAATTTTTTAAATTTTCACCAGAGGATATTTTTATTAATATGGGGGGGGGAGAAAGAGACAGACAGACAGACATCAATGTGAGAGAGAAACTTTTATCAGTTGTCTGCCTCCCTTCCTTGTCCTGACCAGGGATCAAACCTGCAACCTAGGTATGTGCGCTGACCAGGGATTCAACCCACAACCTTTTGCTGTAGGGAATGACGCTCCAACCAACTGGGCCTCCCAGTCAGGGCAAAACCACATAATTTAATTACTAATCAGGTCCATTAATTTGTGAGTTCCTACAGAGCCTGTGTCTCTTATTACCTCTACTCCAATGCCTGCCTAGCACAAAATAAGCCCTCAAACATGTTTATGAATAAATGGGAGAAAGTTCAAGGACGGAATTACTTTCCTAGCAACAGAAAATGAATGAGAAGAGTATTCCAGGCAGAGGAAATAGCAGAAGCAAAGATAGGAAATGAAGTGTGAGAGCTGAGCAAGAAAGGGCCAAAGTGGGAGAAGAAGAAGTAGTAAGAGGCCTCCAGAAACCCCACTGGGTGAGTAGAGGGAAATACAGTGAGCACAGTCCCTGGGAACTGTGTGGCAGGGGGGCAGGTGAGCACTGGTGCCTTGTGGACAGATCCACGTGACCCTAAGTATATGTGTATCAGCCTTAGGGTTGTTTTGCAATGACAGCAGCATGTATTTCTACCATCAGTTCTTTCCCAAATAGTTTCAGCTTTCTGGAATCCAAAGTCTTTAAAATTCTGAGTTCTTTCAGTAGTTCAACTACAGAACAACTAGTCACTCTAAACAGCCATAGAAGGGGCAAACCCACAAAGGATAGGCAGGCGTAAGCAAAGCCTGCTGAAATACCTGCAATGCCATGCTCATCCATATTTTGCACCTCTTCACAAAAGCATTAAAATCCAGAGCACAAATCAATCATCATCTCTTGATGAACATAAGTATCTGCTATTACCATTACTTATACATTGATTTCATCCAAAGTTTATTAAGTATCTACTCTACCTCGAGCAGTGCCCTGGAATATAAAGTTTCTGATTTTAAATAACTTACTTTCTGATAGCAGAATTATTTATAAGGTAACAAGACAAACAATATAATTGGCATTAACAGAAGTACTGTGGAAACACAATGGGTTAACAGACTATTTAAATTTTTTTATGTATAATGTTAAACAGAGGTGAAAGTGAGAGGCAACTCCAACAAACATACATACACCCACACTTTCCCTCGATCATAATAAATTTACTGCCAATCTTGTTTCTCTTCTAAATTGCCTCATTAACTTTAAGACATCATATTATCTTATCCATAAATATTTCACCATAATACCACTAATAGATAGGAACTTGTTCTTTAAACATTATAAATATATATCTTGAAAGCTGAGTAAGTTTTTTAAGATATAAGATTTAACTAAATGAATAAAATGCACAGATCCGAAGGTGCTCAACTGAGTTCTGACAATTGTGTAGACCTGTATTAACCACTATCCAAAACAAGATGTAAAACATTTCTATGGCCCAGAAAGTTCCCACATGCCCTTTTCTAATCAATGTCCTACAGCCAGATAACTACTTTCTGATTTCTATTACCAAAGATCACTTTTGCATGTTCTTAGACTTTTATAAACGACATCATAGAGTAAGAGGTTTCTAGCTCAAAAAAGAAAAAAGCATCCCTTTCAGAAAGAATTACATTTACTGTGTAAAACTGTGTGGAAAGGTATGTTCACAAAAGGTTGAAGAACTCAAAAGGGTTGAAAACTGGGATTGGTAACCATCAGAAGACAAGACTAGAAGAAGAGGCTTGATGGAAAGCTAGGGTTTCCAGATTAAACTCTACAATTAATTCTGGGAACCATGTTGTGAAATAAACTTTCCCAATGCCCAAAGTGATTTCTCTGGCCTAAAAGTACATCTGTTCTCTCAATAAGCTCCTTTCTTTTCAATCCTCCAACTGAGGGGACCAAGGCAAGAGCAACATCCTACACCCCAATGCTATTCACTTGCATCCTGGGCAGAGGCCTCTCTGCCACCTCAGGAAAGGGAATGAGCCCCTTTTTTCTTTCTCATGAGAGGGCACAGTCTCCACTCCCCAACCCCTTTTTAAATAAGCAGCCTCAAATCTGAGGGGCAGCCTTACCATTATCTGTATTTCTCTCTTGCACACCTGGAGATCATGCTCATTGTTGACAAACATGCGTTTCAAGGCACATTTCATTCCATTGCTTGTCCTCACCAGAAACACGATAGCAAATCCACCTGTGAGAGAAACAAACATACAAGTCCTTCTGAGTCATGTTCAAAAAGTCAGGCAGATGACTATGTTGGCTGTTGTCACTGTTGATGACATTCATGCCACTGTCAGCTAGCCCTGGGGCTGGCCTGGCTCAGAACACATTCTTAGATTCTCAGAACTCACAGGTATTACTTATGCAATCAGGTGGCAGAAATCAGAGAAACTGTTCCTGAACACCAATCTCAGGAAAAAAAGAACAACAGTCATTATCTCCCAAAGAACCTACAAATACGCAGATGAACAAACAGATGAAAGGAAAAAACTACATTCTCACTACTGTCATAGACGGTTTGAGATCTCACTTAATTCTAACTACAGTCCTATGAGGCTCGGTGTTATTTTTCCCTTTAAGGCAACAATTACTAGCTGAGGCATTCTTTAATACTTTAGATTTTTTAGTGTTCTACAAATTCTTAGAATGCCTACCTTGACCTCACTCCCCAAACACTGTATTAGGTGTTTGGTGAGACTGTTAATAGGGGTTATAATTAGATAAGGTGCTGCAAAGCTGTCAAAGTTGGAGGCTTTGAGATAAGCAGCACTTATACTGGACACCTAGTCCATTGCTTGCTTGTGTAGCTTCATAATTTAGCTTGCATTATCCTGTGCATTGAGCCTGTGTAGCAAACAAAAAAAAAGGTGCTGGGTTATGTTTTGCACAGAGGAGATTACTAATTGGATGAAGGTGAATGCAGAGAGAAGTCATTGGTATGGGAACTTGAGCTGAGGTTATGGCATTGGATTGGAGCTTGCAGCCACATGCAAAATTAATATAGAGCAATAAGCAGTAGTCATAGAGGTCTCAGGCCTCAGATATGACTGGTGTCCTCACGGCCAGTCCAGTTCCTGAGGCCCAGCACTTCAGCACCTGCCTGCTGATGTTCACAGCATTTCCTGCTACATCTTTACAATACTGATTTCTTTTCAAGTCAGCCTAAGTTTCCGTTCTTTAAAACTAAAGAGAGCTTTAATCACAAAGCACTGATATGTGTTTTCATAAAACACATACATAATTCTGTTAAAAAATTTTAATGGGTTCATCAAATGGTCCAATGTGTACTTTGATAATGACTTACTGGAGACCACATATTTGTATGTTTCTGTCTTCAGCATTCAGGTAAGCACTGAAATTGATCGTGTAATCTTTATTTTTAAATTTTACTTCTAAATATTTTTTGTTTTTCAATTACAGTTGATGTATAACACTATATTAGTTTCAGGTGTAAACCCCATGACTAGACATTTATATAACTGATGAAATGATCGCCTGGATAAATCTTTAATTTTGACTGTCATCTCTTTAATCTTTCTATCTCAGTAACATTTTCCATTTTCTTGTACTACTTTAAAGCAGTGGTCCCCAGCCTTTTTGGCACAGGGAGCTGTTTGCTCGCTCACTGGCTGCTCACCTCCTGCTGTGCGGCCCAGTGCCTAACAGGCCATGGGCCTCAGCCGGGGGTTGGGAAGCCCTGCTTTAAAGTACACTTACACTGCTCCGTTGTCAACCGTAATTCTAGAATTTTGAGTATTTATTAAAAAAATTTTTTAAACCCTCACATGCACTTACAGAGGGAGGTCTTACCACACACACACCAAACAACAGCAACACCCCTCAATTCTAGGATGCACGTGTTTTTACATTTGAATTTTTAGGATATCTGACATATTCTTGTAATAAATATGTACATTTTAAATTTTTAAGATTTTATTTATTTATCTTTAAAGGTGAAGGGAAGGAGAGGGGGAGAGAAATATCAATGTACGGTTGCCTCTCATGCATCCCCTGCTGGAAACTGGCCTGCAACCCAGGCATGTGACCTGACTGAGAATCAAACCGCAATCCTTTTGTTCACAGGCTCACGCTCAATCCACTGAGCTACATCAGCCAGGGCTAATACATACATTTAATGAAGATCTATTTGTCTTTCTTTTTCTCCAAAAAGTTATTAAATTCATGATGTTTTATAATCAAGTAGAACTGAGAAAAATGATAGAATTGTAAAATTTCAATGTACATTCATACCTGTTTTGTGACTAAAGTGGTTTTCATAACATAGATATTTTAAATTTTGGAAAAAATCGCAGAACTACAGACTTTGTACTTCTAGAGAACATTAAGTCTAAGCACTTTTGCTTTATGGGCAGAAGAACCTAGTAAGGTTTAGGAGTCCCACGGCTAACTATGGGCATAACCCAGAAGGGTGTCACTCTCTATACAAAAACATGTTCTTCCTACTTCATTTATCTTAAAGAAAACTGTGAAGTACCCCTAACAGTGCTGGAGACCAAAAGCTGGGAGAGCGAAAGTTGGGAGTGGTTATTTCCCACAGTTCCGCAATGCATGATGGCACCACTAAAGGACAAAGCTGTCCTTTCAGATGATGATGCAGCAGTTTGAGATAACTGCCACCAGATGGGAGCAGTGTACTTTTCTTTACCAGGTAGCAAGGTGACCTTTCCAGCCGGGACTGAAGAAATGAGTCAGATGCCTACCCCTCGATCTAGGCATGCACAACTGGCTGAGAAGAGCCAGTCCAGCTCCTCAAAGCCCATGACCATCATAAAACTAAAGGCAGAGCAATGCACCGCTATACCTAATATAGACAGAACCATGTTATTAAGTATCTATGCCCATACAGGAGCTTATTTGCAGGTGAGCAGCATTTAAATCAGAGTTCCTTGATCGTTAGATTAAAATTGAAGCCTGGTAGGACTGTCAATATTAAAATGTTAGCCATTATTACTATGTAGTTGACCAAACAGGGAGGTAAATTACTAAAAGGTAGAGCAGAGATAGCACCTCTCAAGATACTTCTTCGGTACAGGTCCACCACATGGATCAGGGTAATAAGGTTCTCAGCCACAGCTAACCAGGGTTCAAGCCATTACAAAGGCAGGTATAAGACTGCCAGGAGAGATGCTCATTTCAGATTGGGTTGCATCCCAAGAGCTTGACTAAATGAAAAAATTAAAGCTGAGGTGGGGATGGTATGAACAGAGGTAAGAAAAGCTAACATTCATTAGAGCCTGTGAGACTAACATTCATTAGTCTCTTATCTACTGGCATTTTTTGAAACAGAAAAATAATCTCCATGATTTTACTTAAGTGAATTTCTTGGATAATCCATGAATTTACTGAGTCACAATGGGAAAAAGAACCTGACTCATTATGTGAAGTAAACAAGTAAAACAGGCAAGATAACTGTGGCACATACATGCTTTTATCTATCAGATACGTAGAATTTTTTTTTTTAACTTCCACAGAGAAATATGTTTTCTCTCACTTTCCCTAAAACAGATAGCACTCTTGGTCTGACTTTCTCCTAATTTCTGATGACATGAATGTGTACTTTCTACTCACTGTGACAGAGATTTTGCCTGTTTGGCCCCCTTCTGTATAGTCATGTTCTAGATTAGTGCCTAACATATCGAGGGCACTCAAAAATGAATTAACTTTCCTTTTAATGTTACAACAGAGAATAGAAAAGGCCACAGAGAGTGGTGGAGACTGTGGAAAACTAAAGTGTATGGCCCACAGAAACAGCTACTATACAATTCCAAGTACTTGTTATCATGCAGGAATATGGATCCAGTTTTATCAGATCTAATCACTTCTAAATATAAACTGGACACCCAAAACTCATGTGGAATCTTCAGATTTAAACACTGGCAACAAGTCACAGTTTAAATTAATGCTGGACAGGATGACACTGTAGGGGCTGAAGAAAACACACCTGGGGGGCTTTAGAGAGTCTCTGAGCCTACAGTTTTCTACCTCTAATCTGGTTAACCCCATAATTTCACTGATAGCCAGAAGGGAAAGTGACATAGCCAATGTTACACAGTTAAAAGATGACTTGTAAATAAAATCCAGAATATATACAGGGTCTAGCAGAAGTAACACCTATTTAAGTGTGGTTGGTAGAGTAATAATATAGGTATAATAATTTATAGTTTTAATTTGAACATTCTCCCTAAAATGTCATATGGTGTGCCCAAGTGTGATATTGCTATGTTGCAGAATTACATGCTTGTAATTTTGTAATATAAGATTTTGTAATTAAAAAAGGGGTGTTATTAGTGCTGGACCTTATATATTAGTTATACAGTGGTTATCACAGTTATCATATATTGGTCATCATAGTTCTTGCCATTCTTCCCAAAAGAGTTTATGGAATATTCCCCCCAACCCTCAACCAGCATCTGTATATGACTTTATAGTTCCTCAAAGGCATTTTAACAAACTATTTTATTTATATTTCCACAATAACTAAATGGGGTAGGTGAGCTACCTATTGTCCCCATTTTCCCAATAGGAAAGAGTTGTAGAGAGATTAAGCTCCTTTCATAAGAACATACAGAACTTAGTCAGCGGTACCTCATCTTTTAAAATCAACTTCACATATAATACAATGCACCCTTTTGGGTGTGCAGTTTGATGCATTTCCACAACTGTATACACTCTTGCAACCATCACCATAATCAATCCATCACTGCGATCAGTTCCTTAGTCCTCTTTGTAGGCATCTACCCATCCTTCTCACACCATCTCATATAACTTCTGGCCTGCTTTCTGTCCTATAGATTCATTTCGCTTGCTCTAGAATAAATGGAACCATACAGTATATACTCCTGTGTCCAGCCTCTTTCATTCAGCATAACATTTCTAAAATTCATTGTTACACGTGTATTTTAGTTTTTTAAACTGCAGATTAGTATTCCATTACGTAGATTTTCTGCAGTTAATTTATCCATTCACCTGAAGGACATCTAAATTATTTCTAGCTTTTGGTTATATTATAAATAAAATGTCCATATCAGAGTCCTTTTTGTGGACATAGGTATTTATTTCTCTTGGGTAAATACTTAGGAATGGAATGGCTGGGTCATATGGTAAGTATGTGTTCAGCTTTATAAGAAACTGCTTACCAGTTCGCCATTTCATACACCCAACTGCCACATG